GCGCGAGAGCCACCAAACCATGATTAGACATCAAAAACCTCACAATTACATTTTACATTTAGATTATTAGAATCTGGATCCAAATAAGGTCACACATTGCATTTGGTTTTTAGGTGGGGTCTGCTCTGCACCCTACACCCAAGATTTTATTATGAAAACTTAAAACATATATCAGTGATCAAAATAAATTTGCAGCAAATCTGGAAATACCCACCACCTGAATTTACCATCAACCTTTTACTATAATTATGGCTATCCCTCCTTATTGAGTCTTTCTTAATCTGTCACGCTCACTTTTTTTTAGCAAAATAATGATTTTTTTTTTAAATGGATATTGTTTTGGACATTTCTTCAGTTTAAATTAGGAGTATGTTTGAGCAGGTGGCTTCTCACTAGTTTCTTTCTTCCTCTCGCTGTGGTTGGCAGGCCTCAGTCCTCTGCACATCTGGGAGGTGAGCAACTACAGAAACGACTGTGCCCGTTTGCCCCAGTGGAGACGGGCTTGGTCTGAGCCTTACTCTGCTGGTTGAACTCACATTTCCTGATTGTAAATGGGCAGGTTGTGGAGAGAGGAGCGCTGTCCCCCAAATATGGGGTCTGGGCCTGGAGGTGGCAGGAGCTGAGAGAGCTGTAAGGAAAGTTGTTGCAGAGGCCTTCCAAACATGATGAGCTTGGGAGTCTGGGTGGCCACTTAGGGGGGTTTCCCTGCTCTGCTGAGGCAAGGGGCGGGGTTGGGTTGGGTTGCAGAATCAGCACCTAGGCTCCCAGAGTCAGGAAGGTCTTCCTAATGCCCCAGAGAGAAAAAATCTGTAGTACTTTACTGGTGAAAGGGAGTAAGTTTCCAACAACAGGATGGTAAAAAGTAATGTGTTTTACATTTAGATGGACAGGAAAGCATTTTTCCACCTGGATTCTTAGTTAACAATTTAAAATGCTAGAATTTTTTTTTTTTTTCGCAGTTTTTGGCAGGGGCTGGGTTTGAACCTGCCACCTCTGGTATATGGGACCGCTGTCCTACTCCTTTGAGCCACAGGCGCTGCCCCCAATGTAGAATTCTTAATTCCAAAATATCCTTCAATTCCATAAACTGATAGTAAAGAATAATGGGATGGAAAGAAGAGGGGGCAAGAAGAAAGAGGCAGGGAAGAGTGGAGCAAAACAGGAAAAGAAAGTGAATTTCTGATGCCTGTATCTGCTAAACAAACAGCAAATAGCAAGGAGTGAACTAGGAGGGCACGAAGCCTCCTAAGAAGGACATGAAGTGTTAATAAATGAAAACAGTCTAAAACTCACAGGTATGTTGAAAGTGAGAACAATTCTTATCCCTGCCCTTGGATTTACTATTAGCTTTTAACATAGTCATCACAGCTTTTAGACAGCTATTTATTTTTAAATTACCAGAAGCTCTGCTCTGCCTTGGAGTGTGGGAGAGACTGATTATTTTTTGACTGTGACCCTAACAATATTATTATCATCTATAAATGTGGGTAATATATACCTTTTAGGGCTGTAAAGATTCAATGGTACTAATAGTAAAGTATCTGGCACTGGCCCTCAAACAAGTATCATTGTCCCCTTTGTGGTCAGAGTCACTCTCAGGGTTTAGACATATGTGATGAGAGATCAGTTTTGCTTTGTTTAAATTCCCAATCTGGTGCTCTGATACTTTCATTAAATACAGTAAAAATGAATTACTGGAAGAATGAAAGAAAAATACACAAAGTACTACTGCCCAATTTCTTTCTTATTAGATTTAGCAGATTCAAAATTACTCTATGAAATTTCTAAACTTGCACTCTTAAGTTTTCTGCAGTCATCTTCTCGGGCTTAGATCACAGCAGTCAGAGACCTGCGGCCCCACTTTGAGCAGCATGGGTTCAGAAAGCAGAGGAAAGGGGCACGCTAGGGAGTAGGTGGTTTCTCCTGGCATGAAAAACACCGAACCAACGTGCTGCGGAAGGTCTGGGCCAAGCAGGTGTTTGGCGGAGGCAGACAGGATGGCCTCGTGGCGTGGTGGTTTGGAGGCAGACCCTGAGCGGTGCTGGGCAGAGCTGCGCTAGTATGCGGAAGCACCTGGCAAGGAAAGGGGGGCGAGGACCAGCTCAGGGGGCGGAGCACCAGCTTAGGGGGCGGAGCCTAGAGAGGGGCCACTGTCCTGGAGGGGCGAGTTTCCCTCCCAAGTAGCAGTCTCCAAAAGCCTACTGCTGGCAAGTTAGACTTAGACCAGGAGGCACCCATCTTGGAAAGCTGCTCCCAAATGACCGTGCACCCACTTGCTAGACAGCCCAGGCCTCCACCTAGGTGAGATTTGGAAGTGAAGAAGATTGCTTTTCATTCCTGGGTTGACTTAAATTTTATCTTAAACTAGGTATTCTATTCACATGTTTCAACCTTCCAAAGATACCAAAAAGTAAAGAGTGAAAAGCCTCGCTTGGATTTCCACCCAGTTCCTCATCAGCCAGCCTGTCTCATTTGTGTGCATAAACGCACGGCCGAATGTTACATGCGCTGCTGTGCACTCTGTACTATTATCAAATTATCTTGGAGTTCATTCTAAGACAGCACATACAGAGTGCTCTCATTCCGTTTTATCGTTGCCTGGTGTCTTTTTTTACAGATGTACCATGCTTTATTTAATCAGCCTCTTGTTGACAGATAGCAGGGCCATCTCCACTTTTTTGCTGGTGTGAATTATGCTACAGGAATTATCTTATATGTAGGTCATTTTACACATGTGTAAGGACAGCTGTGGGAGTGGAATTTTTGAGGTAATGGAGAGGTACAAAAATAATTTTTCAGCAGGGCTTGGTGGTTCATGCCTGAAATCCCCACACTCTGGGAAGCCTACGGGAGAGGATCACTGGAGCTCTGGAGTTTGAAAACAATCGGAGCAAGAGGGGGACCCAGTCTCTACTAAAAATAGAAAACTAGCTAGGCATTGTGGCAAGCTCATAGAGTTCCAGCTTCTCAGGAGGCTGTGGCAGGAGGATCACTTGAGCCTAGGAGGTAGAGGTTGCTGTGAGCTTGCTACCAAGACACTCTACTCAGGGTGACAGAGTGAGACTCTGTCTCCAAACAAGTAAAATAAAATAGAAAAGTAAAGAAGAATCTGACTATAACAAAATATGAATGAAGGCGGTGCCAATGGCTCAATGGGTAGGGCGCTGGCCCCATATACCTAGGGTAGCAGGTTTGAACCTAGGCCTGACCAAACTGCAATAAAAAGTAGCTGGGCATTGTGG